TCTGCTGGGCACCCTGCCAGATGAGGCAGATGGGGCCTGATGTGGGGAAGAGAAGGGATAGAGAAGGAGGGCAAAGGAAGTGGGGTGGGGTGGAAAGGAAGGAGAACAGTGGAGCAGAGAGGATCGAGGGCACCTAGTGGGAAATGATGGCAGAGGAAGGGGATCAAGGGAAGCCAGGAGGATGTGTTGGAGGAGGGATGAGAAGGAGAGCAGTGTTTTGTGCTCTGGGAAGGTTTCTTCTGCTGCCTGAGTTGAACGGTGCTCATTTGACAGCACCAGTGATGGGGCTGGCAGTCACGTGCACCCGGGGCTGAGCCCAGAAACTGGTGGGAGACGGGGAGAGAGCTGTGCGTGGTGGTAACCCAAGGGTGGGTGCTGTGCCTCCCCTCAGAAGAGCGGCTCACCCCTGTCATGGAGGCTGCCCACCCCTCCCTGTGCCCAGCATCATTCAAAACTTTGGCATTAGGACTATACGCCAGTCAGTGCTGTGCGAGGTGACATGGTGGCCTGGACTGCCAAGCGAGAGCAGCCCACTCTCTACTTGGGCTCAGGCAGAAATCGGTCAAGAGCATCATCAAAAACCAGAGCCAGCCCCAATACTCTGGATTACTGAGCAAGGCCAGAAACAGAGCTTGACAACAGCAGTGAGACCCCCGAGCTTTAGTCCCAGCCAGGGAAGAGATGGCTCGGATGCAGCGCGCCGTTGGCAGGTGAGAGAGGCTGAACATTGTACCTGTGCAGCGGGACGAAGCCATGCTCCAGGCACGGCGACAGTGCAAGATCTCAGCACCCCTGGCCCTGCTTAAGAGCCAACAGCAAGCCAAAGGGGTTAGGGCTGTAGCTAGACGTTGTTGGGACAGCAATGGGACCTGGGAGAGACCTGCCCAGTGCCGCTGCCCCAGTAGGCTCCAGGGGCACCGTGGGAGCAGCGGGTGGGTGTCAGCAGGAGAGCGTGACTGTCTGAGCACTACCAGCTCGTGGCACTGCCCATGACAATCAGCAGCATGCTCCGACCCTCCAGGTGCGGGAGCTGAAAAGGCAGTGGCAGCAGCGAATGGCGGGAGGAGCAGGTGTGTCCCTTATTACTCGCAAGGCCAATTCACTCCCTACCCGTGACAGGGCAGGCAGAGAACACGGCTCGTCACAAATGCCTCCGACAGCCCAATATTCAAAGACGTCACAACCTGCAGGATTCAATAAAGGCGGCTGGCGGCGTGGTTGGGAGCTCAGGTGTGGGCCAAGGGGGGCGCCGGGGCCTGAGCAACTCTATTATCTTAGCTGCTATTATGAGCCACTAAATTAAGCAAGTGAGCTGCTGTGAGCAAACAGCAGTCACCTCTCCCAGGTAGCTTCTCTTGTTAATCGAAATGGAAAAGGCTCCTGTTTTGCTGAAGACTGAAAAGCTGAGGGCACGGTGGAGGCTTGGGAAGAGCGAGGGGAAGCGGCAGTGAATATTGGGTGCTGCTCAGCTGCTGGACAGGTTTGAAAGCAGGGAGAGTTAACTCCTTTGTTTCCAGGCTGTTGGGCTCTGCAGCTGGGTTTCAGAGGCTGTCCCGTTGTGTCCTCCCACCAGCTTACATGGGTAGGGACGTGGAGAACCCATGGACATGCAGACGGTCCCGGGGACCTGCTAAACTGTACATTAGGCAACACTGAAGTGGTTGAACATCTAATAGCTGTTTATAGCTCAACCCTGTTCCCACTGATGCCCAAGAAAAAAGTTTTTCTGGAGTTTAGAGGAAGGAGGATTGAGGCCCAGATCTTTGAGTTCCCTGGGCCAGATCCCCAGCTGTGGTCAACTGAAATAGTTCAGCTGAATGAGATACCAGCTTATTTTAGCTGGGGACCTGGCTTTAATAGGCAACGGGCCTGATTTCTAATGGTGCATTTCGGCCCCTTTGCATAGTTAGAGAGAATCTGGATCATCACTTTCCAGTTGAAAATTTTGGTTGTCTCATGGGTTACAGGGATTTTTTTATGGTTCCTTGGGTAGCCACATTCCTCACTTCTTGTGCCCTTCATCTGAAGATCCCTAAGCGCTTGATGCATTAATTATGTGGGTGACTACTGTATCACTGCTATGCTAGCATTTTCCAACAGCTTCTGCTGCTGGTTCTCCAAGGGCTTTTCAGGCTTTGATCTCACACTCACCCTAGATATCCAGTAAGTATGAGACCTCTCAGTCAGAGGGAAATGGAGGCAGAGAGGAAGAAGATGATTTGCCATGTTTGATTGCTCAGCCGTCATTAGAATTTAGGACGAGTGGTCAGTCCCTGCGACTTTAGGGGATCCAGCTTGAAGGGGATGAAAATAATCTTAGAGAATCTCTCTGTTACCTGTTGTGTGATGTGGGCCCTGCAACTAGCAGATCTGAGCAGATAGATGCCAAGACAGATTTCAGAAAGGTTTCCCAGACCTCCCAGGTGAATTCCACCCAGAAGCACATAGATCGGCAATAGGAGCTCTTCCCCAGCTGCGCAACACGGGCAGTTTCAGAGCGGTAGAAATAAGAAACTGCATCGTCTGGTGGTCTTCTGATGCTTTTGCAATGGCTTCTGCCACTGCATCCTTGATAACAGGATGGAAGAAGTGGGCGTTTGCTGGAAAATGCTGAGCATTTTAAAGGTGAGGGAAAAGTGTTGTTAAAACTTGCCCTGGTAGGAGATGGAGTGCTGAGGGCGCCTGCTAAGTACTCTTCACCCTGGGACACTCTCAGAGGAGTATTCTGGATCAGGAGAGTGGGGCAAATAATGTGAAATGGTTGATCGTTGCCTTAAGCAGGAAGAGCATCCGGCTGCAGATGCCCTGCATTGCTGTGCCAGGCCAGCCAAGGACAGCATGCCGCCACTCAGCAGCAACAAGCTGCTATTACGCATTGTTGCCGACCTGAGAGAGGAAGAACAAGGGGCCTCCAGCCAGAGGCACAATGGACATTGCAGAGCCCCAGTCATCCCCCACCAGCTTTCCAGGCATGGAGTTCTCTTCAGTGTGTCACAGGAGCTGATCTTGCAGGTGGGAGAGAGAAACTGTGCAGAAGCTGTAGGAGATCTTGCGGGGGTGTAGAGAGCTGGGCTAGATCTGTAGGAATGACTTTTGCCACTCACTTGGCATTCCTGATAGCAGGCTTGGTCTCAAGGTACCTGAGGACATTGCTGATAAGCTCTTCAGAAGGGCTCTGTGCTCTGTGTGCTAAAGCTGTTTGGAAACCCTGGCTCCATCAGTGTTTGATACGAGTCTCTGTTTCCCTCTGCCCAGAGCAGTTGTTGAGAGCAGGAGGCTTAGCTGAGCAGCACCAGCTGCATGTTATGAGAGTCAAATGTCGTGGCGTGTACAAACACCCATCGTGCCTGCTTTTTGTCTTGGCTGGATAGGCTGCCCTCCTTCTCATCAGCTTCTCCCTTACGGAGTGAGACAGGGAGAGGAAAGGGCTCTATAATATTGCTATACAGCTTATAGCAATTACCTTACCAGAGGCTCTTGCCAGGGAAGCATGAGAGTCTGTGAGCAGGGAGTTGTCTGAAAGTTAGTTTGCTGGGCATGGGAGGCAGAAAGCCAGGAGAAGGAGTTGTGCAAGTATGACTCCTGGGAGAAACAGAGAGACAGACTTTCTGGGTACCCAGAGCTTGCTGGAGTAGTAGACTGGGGAGTGTTTGAGTGAGGAAGCTGCCTGTTGTTATTTAGATCTATTGTATTTGGGGAAACATTGTTGTAAGCAAGCAAGATGGTGCTCAAGAGCATCTGACTCACGTCACTGATCCATCTCCTAATAGAAACAGCCCTACAAGACCTTAAATGTTGGCCTAACAACTCAGGCCAACTGAGCAGCATTATTATGCTAATAAGGAAATCCCATATGCATTGCTCTTGCCTATCCCTGCCAGATGAGCCCCTCCCAGATGCAGAGGAGCTCATCTCTCATGCCTCCAACATTTAACAAGCCACTCAGAGGAATTGGTATATACCTGGGGCAATTAGTCGTCTCCAGTAAGGGTGCCTCTAAAATGGGTGCAGTTTTCATCACAGCTGATTTCACCTACCTTGATGGCCCTGCAGGCTGCAGTTTTGGTGCTGTTTTTTCTTGCCTTCCGGTGTTTTGAACCTCAGTGTTTTCCTATGAAAGCTCCACGCAGCTCCACGTGTCTTCTCCCCACTGAGCCTGTGATTGCACCCGCAGTCAGTCTCTTCTGCAAATCTAGGCCACGCCGGCGCTGGCTTGCAGCAAATTACCTACAGATTAATGGCAGCTAATTTAGTTTGAATTACGGAGGCTAATCAAATCAATATGTTGGGGCAAAATACATGCCAGTGAAATCAATAGCTTTCCAGAAACAAAAAGGCATATTGTGTAATTAGCCAACACGGGGGAAGATGTTGGTTCTTTTTAAGGTGAGGAGGGATGCGAGTGAGTGCTCGGCTTCCGTAATCGAAGTCCGAGGAAAGTGGGGCACCTGCAGTGCCAGCTAAGGAGGGCTGGTGTTTGGCAGGGAAAAGGTGGAAGAGATTTGGATCTGTTCCTGGCCCTGCTTTGGCAAACGCTGGGCCGGGAGCATCATGAATAGGGGAAAGGTGATGGCAAGTTTTATGAGTGCCTTCACCCCCTCAGTGGTGGCAGAAGTTTTAGGCTGCTGGGGAATCCAAGATAATTAATCACAAGCTTTATCTAGGCTTTTGCAGATAAGCTAAGACCGGGTCTGGGCCCTGCTGAGCACCTCTGCTTGGAGAGTTGACTGGGACTGTGTATTTGGAGAACCTTACGTTTCACAGTACGCTTGTAAGGAAGGAGCCCCCAGCTACATATGTCCATGCAGGGAGTGGGAGTGGGTGTGCTGAACATCAGATCCGTGGAGCAATATGCTTGCTAGTTTCCCCGTCACCCACAATCTGCTCCCTGATAGTGGTGGGGTGGCCTGTCAGAGCAGTATATCTGGAGTCCGTGGGAGTGTGGATACTTCCCCTGCTCCTGAGACATAGCTTAGATTGCTGCCTTTACGATCCTTTCCTTGGTTATCAGTTTAAATAATTTCCCTGCTTGTTTCCCTCCTCCTGTTTTGAATTATCCTGTAGACTGGAGAGGTTGAATACAGCAATCAGGCTTTTTTGTATCCAGCTGACACGTGGGACTGGTTCGCTCACTGCTACATGCTGGTTCTGAGAGAAGGGAGCCTTCCTTGCCAGGGAGCCGCTGGGCACGACGTATCCAGGTCTTACGCTAGGTTCATACCTAGGTTCAAAGAGATTGGGTTCCTGCCGCAGGGGACTGACACAAACAGCAAAGATCAAGGAAGGGCTGCAGCAAAAACAGGTATAAATGATCCATGTCATAGCCCCCCTGCCTCCTGCCTTCCTCTTTCCCATGCACAGCTCTGGTTTGGGGTGCTTGGAGGACCTGGCTGGGATGTGTGGCTGGAAGCCTCAGTTATTGCCATAGATAAGCTACTGGACACAGTAGATTCATGGGTATATATTGGACATAGCCAATCTTTGTTCCTGCCCAGTCTCTTGCCACGAATGCACTGTGACTGAGATAGCTGCTGTGAATGCTAATGACAGGGGATTGCCCTAATGGGGACAGAGTGGGGCTGTTGACCTGAGGCACTCGGGTGCTCTGATGGGGAGCAATAAGCCCAGCATCAGGCCCATTGTGAGGCTGCAAACGATTGGGCTGTACTGGGTCTTCCTTGGGAGTGGGGATGGGGTCTCTGGCCCTGCCTGTGGCACTGGGAGTGCTAGTTTCTGTCCTGTCCCTTAGGGGTTATCTCTGCCTTTTCTGTCGGCCTCAGAGTCTCTACGTTTCAGCACTCCCAGCATAGATCACAGCCTGTCGTCCTCCCTGTTCAGCTCCCAAGCACAGATGGGACTGGGAAGTCATGTGCACGTGGAAAGGAATGGGGGCTGCCGGGGGGAATCCAAAGAGCTGACCTCATCCCTGGTCGAAAGCCAAGGGATTGATTGGATTGGAGACTTTGGCTTTCATCTGTGAATCGTTCAGTAGTTCAGGTCCTGTGATCACGCAGGCTGCCTCTCTCCCTGTGTTTGAACTCCAGCACTGAGGTTGGCTGGGCCTCCTAAGGTAGCAGCAGTCCCTAGATGTGTTGGCTTGGAGCCTGGGACAGGATGTTCTTGGGGGGAACATCCTTCAGCCGAGGCATCGCTTCCCCTCTGGGATCTCTTGCCCCCAGTCCTGACTTCTAGGCCATGCTGGCAGCTCATCCATCTCCCCTGGCTTTTGGCAAACTGGGCCTGGGGGAGAGGGGACTTGCGCTCCTGTGATGATCCAGGTGGTTTCCACATGGACCTGGCTCCTTCTAAAGGCCTGCTGAAGTCAGGAGCAGAGGCTTTGCTCGTGGCTCAGATACGGCGTGAGCAGCAGAGCAAGAGACTGAGATTATTCCAGTTGTTTGAAAGGTGGGGGGAGGCTCCTGGGTGGGGTTTGCAGTGGCAGGAGGAGGTTGGTTGTGGCCAGTTACTGCACTTGGACCTTGCTGGAGCTGGAGCCCAGAAACTGGGTAGATGAGCGAAGCTCCATTGAGTCCAGTGACCTCTCAATGCCCCTGCAGTCAGTGAAGTTTGCTGCTCTCTCCCTCCTTCTCCTGACTCAGGCCCTTCTGGCAGAAGAGAGCAGCTAGAACCAGGGTCCTTTTTCATAGCTGACAGTCCATGAATATTTATGAGGGAATATTAAAAATGTCGACCACCAAGAGGATTAGTCATGGAGCCCTTGACAGATCCAGGATGCTTGTTACCGTGGCACTGATGTCACCACCAGTCCAGCTGTCAGCCAGGCCATGTGGCATTGCAGCCAAGGCATGATTGAAGTGCTGGCCCTCATCACTCATCGGCCCAGCTCAGCAGGGATGGCTGTGTCCCTCCTCCTGAGTGTTTCCATGACATGCCCTTGCACCTGTCCCCTGCTCCCATGAAACTTCCCTTTTCTCGCCTCGTGCGTGTTGGTCCCTTTGGGTGGAATTTGCACACATATTTTGTGCCCGCCTTGTTCTAGGTCACCTATTCTGCAAGCCTGGCTCACCGTTCCCACATCACGCTTCATTGCAAATGACACGAAAAGGCAGATGGGGACAGGACTTTGTTACATCAGAAGTGTGGGCAGAAAAGTGCCAGCATGCAGGAAGCTCATACATCCTCATAGGACTTCAATCTATATGCCATCCTCAGTACACCCCCGGTCCTCCGACTGGCAGCAAGATCTCCTCCTGGCCACCCTCTGAGAGCTTTATCGTTGGGAGCCATTGGGAAATCCAGAAGGATGCAGCTGTCCCAGTTCCCAGCACCTTGCTCCTAGGATGCCCCACAAACCACATGGGCTGCATCTCCACGAGTGGGAATGTGCAGTTTGTGGAGGCACTACAAAATGCATGCAGCAGGTCCATTCGCCACACTACCTATTTTTGCAGCCACACTGCAAAATATGCACTGGGAAATCCTGGTATCTGTAAAAACCACAGCAGAAAAAAGTGGGATGGCACCCGTGGCTTCAGTGTGTGCTTCCAGAAATGAGCCTGCCTGGCCAGAGTCATGCTCTGGCTGCTGGCCAGGCTCCACATGCCCAGATTGCTGCCACTGCTGCCCTAGGAGGCTCCCAGGACCCCAGGTAAGGCTGCTGGGGCCAGCCCAGGTCTGGCCCCAGCCTCTCCATCCCATCCAGGGCAATTTGCCACATGCCAGAGCATGCGTGCAGGGGCATTCCCTGGGGACAAGCAGCAGTGGCACAAATATGTGCCACTGCTGTTTGTCCCCAGGGAAATGCATGTTCCCACTTGTGGGGACATGTCCTTGGAGTCCTAACTTGCTCAGGATTTTGCTCTGACCACTCTCCCACATTGCCTCTCATCCTAACCCACATCTTCTTTTGCTCTTGCAAGAGATTGATGCTGCCTGGAGAGGTGGCGTGGCTAGATATCATCATGTTGAGCCCACGTGCTCTCTTTATTTCCTCCACCCCTTTCTACAGAAGATGAAGGACACCAACCCTTTTCTCTTTCTAAGGCTGGCTGAATAGAAGGAAGGCCCATTGCTGAGTTGGAAGTGCACAAGTTCATATATATCATGAGTGGCCACACTCCTCTATACATCCTGCTTTTCCTCGCCCAGTGAGCAAGTCCCAAGTTTTGGAGGACTTCCACCATTTGGGATGGAAATCGCATGGGAACAGCTTGTGTAACATGCAAACAGGGCCCTCTCTACCCTGATCTCACTGCTGCTGTCCTAGTCCACGCCTCACTGTTGCCCCTGACTCTGGTCTTTCTGGATCTCTCCCCAGCCTCTCCTCTAGGGTCAGATTGTGATCCCAGGCCCAACAGACACATACAGATCTAATTCCATCAGCTTTGCTATCTCTCATCTCCTCTCTTTTCTCCTTCAGTTACTAGATTATATTTTAAAATCTACAGCTCTGTTGCTAAGAAATCAATGAAACCCCTAACTACTTTTAGTGCATGTCCACGCAATATTATTGTCCTGCTACAAAGCTATCCATCGTGCCAGTAGAAGCGATGTAATTTAGCTGACAACCCACTTCCCCAGGCCATGATGACATTGATGGTGGTTTTAATAATCTTGGAAGTGCAAACTGAGTCCATCATGGGCATGTTGTCTCACGCTATGCGAGGAAAGCAGATGAAGAAGTAAATCAGTGTGTGTGGAATGGGAAAAAGAAAGGCTAGAACTGTTAAGGGAGGGGAGCAGGAAATGATTGTCTCACTTCTTAGAGAAACAGAGTGAATAAAAAATTAATTTAAAAGGAGAAATACAAGTTAGGGACAAAATCCTCTTCATGATGGGGGGAGAGGAGGAGCTCAGGCCTGTTGTGTCATCCTCTGTAACCTACGGTCCCTAGATCTTATTTTTGCCCTCTGGCTGAGTCTCAGATGCCCCATTCCTGCATCTGAGCCAAGGAGGGGAAGGGAAGAGAGAGATAGATAGATATTTCTTCTTTTCCAAATCACCTGGGGTTGTACAAGGATCTGCCGGGTCCCTGGTATAAGTTAGAGCAGCCTTAACATTATAGCCTATAGGTTAGTTGTAGCCATAACAAATGCTCCCCCTTTCCTACTCCCCCTGCCAGGACCAGGGGGGAGTGGTGATGTAGAGATATTTCCTAGAGACATGCCAGGGAGTAAACATTTCTGTGCACAAAAGAGTTGGTTTGAGTGAGGATCCAGCAGCTCAGAACTAGGATTGAGGGGGCAGGTGGGTATCTGTGATGTCTGTCAGATCAGGTGTTAGACTGATGTCCCGGATGTCTCTCCCTGTGGCCCTCTGGGTTAGCATGACACATTGCAAAGTGTAGGAGATAGGGTCTCACCAGTGCTTGCTCCCAGTGCAGCAGGGGTTTGCAGTCCTTGCGGGGAGGTGAGCAATCAATGGACCAGTAGGGCCAGGCTTTCAAGCACTCACATCTTCAGCAGAATATGCTCGGTATGCAGCCAGCCCCACTGCCCGGTGCCCTTTCCAAGATCCAGCCACTGACTTAGGCACCTAGATGTAATCTGGGCTCTTTCTGAAGTCGGATCCTACTGATGGCAAATGCATTACCTATGAAACCCTGAGGCACATCTCAAATATTGCCTCTATCTTGGTCATACAGGGCAAATCCACAGTGGGACGAATTCAGGGTCAGGCCTGTGGATAGACTCCCATGCTCTAAATCCCTTGTTGT